AGACCCTCAAACCGGGGCAGGTGGGCTGAGCGCGGTGCTGCACACCTGCAATCCCGGCTCTGCAGGAGGATCGCATTCCCAGGGCAGCCCCAGGGGGGAAAAAATAGCGAGGCCTTATCTGAAAAATAACTAAAGCCAAAAGGGCTGGAAGGAATGGCTCAAGTGGTAGAGCAGCCGTCTGGCAAGTACAAGGCCCTGAGTTCAAACCCTAGTACTGAAAATTCAAATAAGTAAATAAAAAAGTAAGTTCAAATCTGTGACGTGAAACAATGCCCAGCAAAGGTTTGCAAACGTGACCGTGGTTAGATGCTTATTTTCAGAGTCCGAATCCCAGCTGGCCGCTGCTGGCTCACGCCAGTTCTCGTAGCTACTTGGGAGGCTGAGATAGGGAGGATGGAGGTTTGAGGTCAGCCCAGGCAAATAGCTCATGAGACCCCATCTTGAAAATGACCAGAGCAAAATGGACTGGAGGGAGGGGTGGCACAAGTGATAGAACATCTGCTTTGAAGCCTAGAGTTCAAATCCCAGTCCCACGAAAAGAGAGGGAGAGGGGGTGAGAGAGAGAGAGAGAGAGAGAGAGAGAAGCAAATGTCTTTGAGGTGCCCAGAGGGATGGGTTTGCAGTGCTGAGTAGCCCTGGCCTTTAGGGACCTTTCAGAGCTCTTTTGCTGCCCCTGCATGGCTAACGTTATGGGGCCAACCTTGTGGCAGAGGCACCAGGGGACAAGACAGCCACATGCAGCAAACCGAGTGGGAAAGCAGCGCCCCCTGGAGGCCAGTTCCGGAACTGCCGCCCCAATGGGCAGACGCCCCTGGGGGTGGGGGGGTGTGTGAAGGAGCTCAAAAAGAAACAAAAAACAGCAATGAAGAGAAATCATAGGTTCCCAATTTCAAAGTTGCGGCCCAAGCCTAAATAATATTTTAATGCAATATTCTTGGTAGTATAGGATTTGAATTCAGGGCCTTGTAGGAAAGCACTCTCCCACTTGAGCCACACCTCCTCCATCCTAAATTTTGATTCTTCTTTTTTTTTTTTTGGTTTTGAGATTTTAGCAAAGATTTATTTTAGAACAACAGGAGAAACTGGGAGAAGTGAGGGGGGAGAGAAAACAGGAGAAACATTTCCTGCTCCCCACACAGGAGATGGGAGTAAAGACTCTTTGGTTCTTTAAGACAATTACTTTAGTGAGCACAGTGGCTCATGCCTGCAATCCCAGCAACTTGGGGGGTAGAGAGCAAGGGGGTTGCAGTTGGAAGCCAGCCAGAACAGAAAGTTAGTGAGACACCATCTCAGCCAATTAGTTGGGAGAGGTGGTGTGCATCTGTAATATCAGCTACTTGGGAGGCCTGAGGTAGGAGGATCCAGGACTGAGGCAGGCCCTGGAAAAAAATGTGAGACCCTACCTAAACAAAAAAGGCCTTGAGGGGAGTGGGGGAGTGGCTCAAGTGGCAGAGCTCCTACCTTGCAAGTGGGGACCCAAGTTCAAACCCCAAGTACCGGAAAAAAGAATACAGGGTAGCAAGTAGCTACATAGACTTGATACTGTATCAAGAATAAGTTCCGCCGGAATATGGATGTCTAGAGGAGAGTGTGCAGGTTCCATGGGAGCACCACCCCTTCACACAGGGGGACTGAGAATCATGGGTTTGGGGTTCATTGGGGGGCTCCTGGAGCCAGTCAAGCCCCCTTCAAAACCAGGTCTGTACCACTTGTGCCCGCCTGTGCCTGGCCTGGTCCCCAGCCAGGATGTCTCCACTTTGCCCAATACAATTCAATGATCGCGCGTCGGCTTTTCTCTCTCTCTCTCTCTCTCTCTCTCTCTCTCTCTCTCTCTCTCTCTCTCTCCCACCCCCCACAAGGCTGTTTGATGAGTGACAGCCTGAGAACACTGATGGGTGTGATCTTGGAAGAACAGGCGCTCCTGGCTGATGTTCCATTCGTGGGTGGAAAATGCACTGGAATCCCCCAACCTGCCGAGCACCGCAGCTCAGCAGCTCAGCACACGACAGAGTCTGTTGCTTCCTCTCGTGACTGAGGGGCTGCCTGGGAGCTGCCCTCGCTGCCACTCCCCAGTGTCTCAGGAGAGGAGGGAAAGGTCCAAATTCAAAATTGGCACTCCACTTTCCGCTGAAGACATATTGCTTTCACAGCATCAGAAGGTAAGAAAACAAGGGGATGGGGACTGGCAGAGTGGCTCAAGTGCTAGAGCACCTGCCTAGAAGGTGTGAGGTCCTGAGTTCAAGCCCCAGTGCCACCAAAAAAAAAGGAAAAAAGTAAAACACACACAAATGGAACCATTTTAAGTTTCTAAGTCAAGGACAGCCTGTAAACTCTGCCTTTTTTTCGGTACTGGGGTTTGAATTCAGGGCCTTCACCTTAAGCCACTCCACCAGCCCTCTTTTGTGATGGATTTTTTTTTTTTTGAGATAGGGTCTTGTGAACTATTTGCCCAGGCTGGCTTTGAACCGCGATCCTCCTGATCTCGGCCTCCTGAGTAGCTAGGATGACAGGTGTGAGTCACCAGCACCCGGCAAGCTTTCAGAGCTTGCTGCAACCTTACGAAAATCCCAGGGCCAGGACAGCCCAGCTCAGCAACGCTCAAGATCCCCGATCTTCAGAAACCCCGAGGGATAATCAACATGTGTGGCTTTGAGCGGCTGTAATTTGGGGGTATTTGTTACACAGCAACAGCTGACTGATACACGGGAAATGTCAGGACTTGAAGCTTTCACCATGCTTGAGGGCTTGGATACAGAGAGTCCCCTGGAGGGACCCACCTCTGGGGGACTTGGTCCTCAGCTGGTGGGTTTCTGAGAGGTGACAGAACCATGAGGGCTGTGACCTAATCCAGGGGTCAATTTTTCCAGGGGTTGGTGGAACCCAGGCGGTGGGGCTCAGTTGAAGGAGGATTGAGGACACCTGTCCTGAGTCCCTTCCTGGCTCTCTCTGCCTCCTGAGCCCCCGGCTCTATCACTCCCTCTCCCAGAGGTGGCCCAGTGTTTATTTTCTCCCTAGGTCATTCGATATTTTCCTTTGCCAGGAAAGGGGTCACCCAGGCTCCCAGCCAGAGGGTGGTAAAACCAGAACTGATGCTGGGGCCTGCCCACGTCCCTCCCGTCCCCGAGCAGCTACCGCCACCTGCGTGCGGGAGGGAGGTCTGGGAACAGGCATGTGGGGACAAGGGAGGTGACAGCTCAGGTCTGGTCAGCTTGTGGTTGACTCTTTCTCCACTGTGCGTCTTCAGAGAGGAGTAAAGGAAGAAGCCTGTGTTTTAGTATCGGATGCCAGGCACCATGGCTCACGCCTGTAATCCCAGCTACTCAGGAGACAGAGATCAGGAGGGTCGTGGTTCAAAGCCAGCCCAGGCAAATAGTTCTCAAGACCTCATCTCCAAAATAACCAGCATAAAATGGACTGCAGCTGTGTCTCAAGCGGTAGAGTACCTGCTTTGCGAGTGCAAAGCCCTGAGTTCAAACCCCAGTCCCACCAAAATTTAAAAAAATGGTTAAGATGTTAAACTTTGTGTCTTATCACTTTCTTTTTGTCCTGCTGGGACTGAAGTCAGGGCCTGGCCCATGCCACCGAGTGACATTCCAGCCCTGTTTTGCCATCATTTCCCCCCTCCCTTTTTTTTTTGCCAGTGCTGGGATTTGAACTCAGGACCTCACGCTTGCCAGGCAGGTGCTCTACACTTGAGCCACTCTGCCAGCCCAGCCACCATTTTTTCAAGGATAATAAGAACCTCAGTCTCCATACAAGACCAAGGAAGGGACTGAGCTCCTGCAGCTAAAATTAACCTGGGCTCGAGACCCGGCCAGCAGAGATCTCACTGCGACCCAGGGATGCCAGGGCCAGCCAGTGGCTTGTCACCCCTCCTGGGAGAGGCTGCACGGCTGTTCCGGCACAATCTGGACCCAGGCAATGAGATCCCAGAGCACTCGGGCTGCAAGGCAGCAGGTGACTTCTTCCCGCCGTGTGGGGACTGTCACGAGGAGCGAAGTCACTGCTTTTAGGTCTGCACCTGTTGGATCCACAGTCATTCTGTACTTCATCCTCTTCCCTCCTTTTCTTCCATCTTTTTTATTTATATATTTTTGAGACAGAGTCTTGCTCTGTAGCCCAGGCTGACCTTGAACTCACGATCCTCCTGCCTCCTGAGTGCTGGGATTACAGGCGTGCACCGCCACGCCTGGCTTTCAGTGTTGAGTCTTGAGTTTATTTCTATACTCTGGTGGCAAACTCTTAATCAGACGTGTGATTTGCAAAGACCTTCTTCCCCAGTTTATGGCTTTTCTTTCTCTTCACTGAGGGTCCTGCTCTTATGGATGGAGAATCCATTCGTGGGTTAAGAGGCTGTGGAGGGGGTGCCTTGGTCCTAAAACGAGCCTGGTCCAGCATGCTAGCAGCGCCTTCCACCGTGCCATGAAGCCCTTGCCAGATGCGGAGCAGACGTGGTGCCGTGCCCACGTCTTCCCAGCCTCTGCAACGGTACGGTGAGCTGAGCAAACCTTTATTTTTTTGTACATCACCTGGTCTCAGGCATTTTGTTACAGCAACAGAAACCGACTGAGATAAGGGTCTTGTGTGACAATAATCTTACACTGCAAATCCTGACTGTCCCCCACACCCGCCCAGCTCTTTTTTTCTTTGCAGTACTGGGATTTGAACTCAGGACCTACACCTTGAGCCACTCCACCAGCCCTTTCTTTGTGATTTTTTTTTTTCAAGATAGGGTGTTGTGAACTGTTTGCCTGGGCTGGCTTCAAACTATGATCCTCCTGATCTCTGCCTCCAGGGTAGCTGGGATTAAAGGCATGAGCCACAGGCACCTGGCCCTCTCCCAGCTACCTCTGAAGACTTCAACCAGCTTGTCCCCGAATCCCACAGATGACACCCACTCCAACACCTGCCCAGCAATTGAGGGCCGTGACTGTCATTCCCTCCTATCTCTTAAGGACAGACCCCGCTGTGTCCCCACATCTAGAGGGGGGGAGAATGAACCACACAAGCCTCGAGCACTCATTCACAAAAGATTTATTTATTGGCTGAGCCTCGCTGGACATGCAAGAGGATGAAACTGGGGGGCTAACAGCCTTAGGACCCACTCAACTTCTGGCATCACTGCTACAAGGCACTTTCCCAATACCTGGGACCCCAATCTGGGTGGGCCCAAACTCTGCTTAAATGAACAAGCTCACCCCACCCACCCCTCTCCCATGTCCTGTGGCCCTGGCTATCATTCCCTTTGCTCACCCCACTCGGCAGCAGCACAAGGCTGGGCCCAGAGTAGGCGTCTAGATGTTTGTTGAATGACTGAATGAGCTCCAGGCACGGGAGGACATCCAGCCACTAAGGGACCTGGGCACCTGGCAGCCATCAATAAATGACTCTCAAAAATGGCTTCGAAGTCTTTTGGGGTCAAGATGCAATTTTGGAAAAGAAACAGAATGAAGAATAAAACCGCCAGGGTTCTGGCTGGAGCCACTATTGTTATTGTGTGGGCCCCTCTGAGTCTTTGGGGTCCAGGCAGGGGTGGGGACCCTCCATTCCTACCAAAGTCCTCATCCCTGTATCTCACTCAATCTCAAGTCATCCCTGGAGGGTGAGCTGATGTCCCCACTGTGGAGACAGGGAAGTCAAGGCCCGGGAAGGGAAATTCTGAGCCCAGGAGGCCCCAGTTCTGAGGGTCCTGGGGTTGGGTCCACTCCCTGTGCCCATGGGTCCCCGGTTCACCCCCTAATCTGCCTTCTTGGTCTTCTTCTTTCTGGAACCCTCACTCAGCTCCTCCTTGGACTTGGCGGGCAGCGGGGCGTGCTGGGGGCCTGGCCCGCCGCCATGGGCCACTCCGTGGTTGTCGTGGTGATGGTCACCTTCCCAGGCCGCCCCAAACAGCACGGGGCAGACGTAGTCCTCCAGGACATCAAACGGGGAGCTGTGCGAGTGAGTGGCTGTGAGGAATACCTGGGGCGGGGGGAGCGGTGGCACAGGGACAGAGAGAGCCGGAGGGACAGCCAGGCAGGAGGAGGGGGAAGAGGAAAGGAGGAAAAGAAAGTCAGAGGGGTGAGGGAGGGGGCGGCCCAACCCAAGGAGGCTGGACGGCCACCCCAGGTGTCCAGGGACGCAGGACTTGCGGGGGACGGTCCCCCCAATCCAGTTGAAACCTACTAGAAGGTGAGGACTTTGGGGCATCAAAACAAAGCAACAAAAGGCCATGTTTGGCGGGTGTGGTGGTGCATGCCTGTAATCCCAGCACTGGGAAGGCGGAGGCAGGAGGACTGTGAGTTCCAGGCCAGCCTGGGCCATATAAAAAAATTCCAGGAGAGCTGACATGGCAGGACAGCCGACCCTCACTGGACCCCGGCCACGCTGGTAATGAGCGTGGACGTCCAGCCTGCAGAAGTGTGAGTGGTAAGCTTTTTTTTTGTTGACGAGCCAGTGGGTCTAGGTTTTTTGCAATGGAACCCAAGGCTAGCCAGGCGCTCTCCCCCCTCCCCGAGCCCCGCTCTGGGCCCTTTTCTTTGTATTTTGACACGGTCGTGTTAGGTGGTTCAGGCTGGTCTGGAACTTGTGATCCTCCTGCCTCCACCCCTCCAGGGCTGGGATTACAGGCGGGCACCACCACGCCCGGCAGCTCCCAGCCTCCGGTCCTGCTCTCCCCTCCCGAGGCACCAGGGCACCTCTGCTTCTCACTCAGGCTGGGCCCTGGGCCCGGAAAGGCTGTTCCCGCCTCCTGGCAAGCTGCCCACGTGTGGGCCACCTGCTCTGGGATCCCCGCCCCGATCCCGGGAGGCCCGGGGTAGCACTGTGAAGGCAGGGGGGCCGGGAGGCGTACCTTGCAGGACACCATAAACATGGTGAAGAGGAAGATGAGGCTGGCTTTGGACACCGGGAGCCAGCGGGTCTGCTGCAGGGTGAACAGGACGGCTCCGTACAGGCTGGCCTTGGTGGGGCTGCGGGGCACAGGGAGGTGTCACCGTTACTGTAAGTTTCCGCAGAGCCTGGGTCCTTGTCCCTGTGCTGAGCGGGGTGGGAAGGTGCACGGTGGCACGGGACGGGTGGCGTCTGCATGCGGGTCCTGGCGCCCAGGGCCCATTGACCTTGGCTCACAGCAGACGTGACGACGTGATTCACTATGGAGCCATCTGCTCAGATTCGGGAGAGCCACCATGCTGGTGGCTGACCACGTCCCTGTGACGGAGCGTCCCGGGTTGTCAGCACACTGTGCCCGGCCCGTGTCACACACGGCTACCGGGAGAATTAAGCACTGTCCGTGTGACTCCTGAGAGGGGACGAGTGGAAGGTCACACCTGTCGCCTCCTGGACTCTGCCCTGCACTGTTCTCCTCTGCTGACGTCCCCTGTGTTCTGCTGTCATCAACCATGGCCCTGGGCATCACAGCTTCTCTGTCTTTCTGGCCAATGGACAAGGGGACGCCCCCCCCCAAGGAATGTGACCACAGCACCAAGGTTGTCCCAAGCTCTCCTTTCCTTTGTTGAGAGTAGGCTTGTCGCGAAAGAAAGACCCCTGACTTCCATTCCTAAAGCCTGTGGCCCGCTGCACGCACGAGGCGGTGACAATTACACCCAGGATTTCTGAGCCCTCGCCAGCCACCGGCCGGGTGGCTTGGGGCCCCGTGGCACCCGAGGGGGCGGAGGTCACCGGCCCACACGGCAGCAAACCACGCAAGGCGCTGGCACCCCACTTCTGCATGGGCCTCAGGGTGGAGGCCAGCTGCTCGCGGGGCTCAGTGAGACAACTCGGAGTTTTGCAAAGGACGACAGGACGCGGTTGTCACCGGCGTGGGGGTGAGCGTTTAATCAGGGCTTTTCTTTTGAGAGCTGCAATTTTACGTCTGATGAAAACTAAACTCGCTCAAACCGATGAGGCCCTTCACACTGGCCTGGCCTGGGGCTCTCTGCGGGGTCACTGTCCGGCCCCGCCCACCTTCTCCACTTGGCTCTAGCCACACTCCTCACCCACCCTCTATACCCCATGCTCTGAACCCCGCACACCCCCAAGTTCCATAGCCTTTGATCCTGCCCACCTCTGTACCCTAACCCCGTAGGCCACTGCACTATTCTGACCTCATTGTTGACGGAGATGCTGGAGGGCAGCAAGAAAACTCCTATTCACTCTTCAAAACCCCAACCAAATATCACCTCCTCTCTTCAGCTCTTCTTGTCCCTACCCTCCAGGCCGAGCTGTGGCCCCATTCCCCAGCCGAAGCTTCTGCAAGGCAGTTGGGGGCTGAGACTTCTCCATGTTGTCACCAGGATCCAGTTGGGGTAGGACACTTGTACGTACGAGGGGGACCGAGGACCGAGGAGAGGGCTGGTGGCATACTCACAAGGACATGTGCATGATCTCGTTGGTCTCAGGCTTCCAGACCCCGCGGAGCAGCTGCTCGAAGTTGGACAAGAGGGCGACGCCGGCACCTACAGGACAGGACGCCACGCACCGGTGACCGGGCCTGCCACCCCGCCTCCCCCACCTGCTCTGAATTCCCACGGAGCCACCTCTGCGCTCCTGGAGGCTTAGGGGACACTGAGCTGGGTTGCCCAGTCGTCACATCACACTCGGAGCAAAACCAGCCTCAGAAAGCCAGCGAGGGGTTGTCCGCGTGACGTCCCCAAGCCAGGACATGGGGCTACGAGTGGGGCTCTCAGCTCACATCTGATCTGGTCACTGCTCCTCTGGGACCGGGGCTGTACCCTGTAGCACACGGCCATACAGAGCAAAACGGGAACGGCCAACCCCACGGCAAGAAATGGCCTAGCCCCAAATGTCAGCAGTACCAAAGACGCTGTGGCCAGGCAGAGCGTGACTCTAGACTTGGGACTCTGGGGACACCCACTCTTTTGGGACAGGAAGCAGGGATGAGCTCCTGAGGTTTTAGCCCCTACTTGGGCCTTTTTTCCTTTACTTCTGATTCCTTGGCTCCCTTCATCAACTTTTTAAAGCTAACCAGATGTGGTGGCTCACACCTGTAAATCTTAGCTACTCGGGAGGCTGAGATTGGGAGGCTCTTGGTTCGAGGTCAACCTGGGCCCAAAAAAGTTTGTAAGCCCCCAGTGGAAGAAGCTGGGCATGGGGGCGCACTCCAGCCACCCCAGGCACATCTCCAAACTCCAGAGCGAAAATGGCTGAGTTCAAACCTCAGCACCACCACGGACAATCAGGCCCGAGGCTGAGATGCCCTGCTGTAGTGACGCTGGCCTTTGGGGTTGTCACCGTGGGCTCACTGATTTGTACCTAGCTATGCGCTTACTGATTCCTTGGGGGAGGCCGGGACCCCCCACTCTTGGTGTCCACACCTGAGCCTGGAGCAAAGACTGTGGCCAACCCAGGAGGGCTCTCAGTGGCGGGGACTTTGGGGCCTGCCTACCTTTGACCCAGCCGGTGGCGATCATGACAAACCAGCCGTGGTGGTAGTGGTGGTGAGCGTGGTGGATGCCCACCGCGATCTTACGGACCCGCACCACCTCCTTCATGGCCACGAAGATGAGTTTCACGGGCAGGAAGCACACGCACTTGTAGAACAGGTCCATGGGGCAGAAGAAAATCAGGTACCTTGGGAGACAGCAGCTCAGGGTCAGAGGACAGGCCACCGACCACGGAGGCCCTGGGAGAGGAGGCTGAGTCCAGCCTCGCTCTTGTGCATGCCGGGCTGGGAAGGGGGACCCAGGGTCACCATGGAGGTCGTGCGTGGCAGGGGGTCCTGGTCCCCTCACCCTCCCACCTCCCAGATGCAGGGTCCCCCCAGACCCCGGCTCTCCCCACCCATGCCTGGCACAGCTCACCAGACGGCAGAGGCCAGCAGGACGCTGGAGTTGTTGCTGAAGTAGTCGGTCACAGGCTCCCCCAGCAGCAGGTCGGCCAGGATGTAGCTCCCGAAACAGTGCAGCATGGCGCAGAGCCAGGATGCCACGGGGTGGCGTCGAGACAGCTCGACTGCTCCTGGGAGGCACAGGAACATCCCCCACTGTCACCGCAGTGCTTCCCTCAGGGCCCCCCACCAAGCGACAGACTCATGACCACGCACGTCTCATCACCAGGACGGGGCTGAAGCGCGCAGAGATGCACCACATTACAGCTGGGGACACCTCGAGGGCGCCACAACCTCCAAGGAGATACCTAGGGTCTCTGAACTCATGCTGGTGTTGTTTTCTTCCTCTTTTTATTTTACTGTTGTTATTACCACGGTCTTGGGCCAGGCTTGGTACCTCATGCCTGTAATCCCAGCTACTCAGGAGGCAGAGATCAGGAGGACTGTGGTTCAAAGCCAGCCCAGGCAAATAGTTCCATGAGACCCTATCTCAAAAAACTCATCCCACCCCCAAAAAAGACAAAATGCCCATCCCAAAAAAGGGCTGGCAGAGTGGCTCAAGGTGTTGACTCTGAGTTCAAACCTCGGTGCTGTCAAAAAAAAACACCAAAAAGCAAAATCTGGAAATGCTGTTGCTGCCTACTGGTGTTCTTCCATAAATACATGTGCACGCCTACGTATGATTTCAGTGTTTGGAAGCGTTAGCTGTGCCGTCCACTTTGGAGAAAAACATCACCATTTGCGCTGAGTTGGCACCTCACAGAGGTCCGCAGGCACGCTGGCCAGGAAACGCTAGCTTTTTTCCATCTGTATGGGGTTAAAGAACTGTATTAAACACGCACAGTCTAATGCAGGTGTGTTTCATTACAGAAACCAATAAAGTACTCTCTAAACAGTTTCACTATTTAGAGACTCGGGTGCTAAGAGCTGCTTGCCTAGCGAGTGTGAGGCCCTGAGTTCAAAACCTAGTACCACCAAAAAAAAAAAAAACTGTGATCTGGTGCAGCCCAGGCATAAACGTGAGCCCTTACCTCAAGAACAACCAAAGCGAAAAGAGCAGGGAGCGTGGATCAAGTGGCAGAGTACGTGCCTGGTGAGTAGCAGGGATTACAGGAGTGAGCCACTGCACCCGACTCTGACACAAGTTATTTCAAAGTAAGTAATCCACATATTATCCTCTGTCCTCACCGCTGCACCAACTAACCATGTGACTTTGGTGGAACCATTGTTTTCTGTCTCTTTTTCCTTCTGTCGGCTGGGAGCCCTAACCCCTTCTTTGTCTAAATCCTGCTGCATTCCCACCCTGCAGGTGTAAGCCCAGGGTCCCCCCCCCACCCTTGGGGTTACCCTAAATCTCAAAAGAACCTGGGTCCATAGACAGGAAGCGAACCGCTCTGACTCCTGTCCTGTCCCCTCCTCTCCTGTCCTGGGCGTCTATTTGAAACACAGCCTGTGGCCGAGAATTAATTGTTCAAAGCAGCTGGCGGTGCCGGGGCCAGGCTGGCTGAGGCACCCATGTTTTGCAGGAACGGATACTGTCCACCTAAAAATAACTCCCAGGGTTGAATTCTTTCCTGGGACCCAGCAAGGGAGTTGGGGGTGGAGACCTGGGGTCTGGCCGCTCTGACAAGCACCTGCGTTTGTTCCATGAGCACGCCCTCACATAAAAGTCACATGCTGGGTGCTGGCTGGCTCTGTCACTCACTAGTGTGGCCCTGAGCCAATCACTGCCCCCATCCCCCAGCCTGGGATGAGGTGCTGGAAACAGACAGCTGGGGACAGGGGTCAGGTGGCAGAGCGCTCACCTGGTGTGTGCAAGGCCTGGGTTCCACCCCCAGCACCATCAAAAAATAAAATAAAATAAAATAAAATAAACAGGGATGAGCGCACATCCCTTCCTCGGGTGTAATAATTCAACGTGACCATGTTACTATTCCTCCCAAGGGCTGGGATTACAGATGGGTGACACCATGCCCTGCAACACTGGACTTTTGGTGCTCATAATGGACAAACCTGGATGAATTGGGTCACCATGGTTCTATCAGTGGTTCCAAAGAAGTGAAAAGAAATTGCTTAGTGCTTACCAGTTATGCAGATGTTTCTGGAACTAAAATGAAATCGAAAATACCTGGAGGTAGAAACTTTGGTGGATGAATTTTTTTTTTTCAGTGCTGGGGATGGAACCCAGATACATGCTACGCCAGCAGTCTGCCACTAAGCTGCCTCTAGCACCACAGTACAGGGAGTCTTTCCTTCTTTTTTTGCAGCACTGGGGTTTGAACTTGGGGCCTCACACTTGCTAGGTGGGCCTCTACCACTTGAGCCACTACACCAGCCCTTTTGCTTTGGTTATTTTAGAGACAGGGTCTTGCTTCATGCTTGGGCCAGCATGAACTGCAATCCTATTTATACTTCACTGATTAGCTGGGATGACAGGTGTGCACTACTTTGCCCAGTCATTACTTGAGATGGGTCTCCTAAACCTTTTGCCTGTCCTCAATGAGGCTTTAAAATTGAGTTACTTGGGTCCCCTAGAGCTGGTCTCTGATGGACTCTGTGCCGGTCCCTCTCTCTTGGCAGTGGTCACTGTCTCATTGTGCTCTCACTGTTCCCCCAAACCCTTGACAGCTCTCTGCCTCAGTTTCCTCCTCTTTTGGTCCCAGATTCACAAGGTTGGAGGATGAGAAACTCCTCAACCTCAAAAACCTTACAGGGGGAAGTGGTTTTAAAAAAAGAGCAAAACAAATAAAAAAACAGTTCCGAGCTGGGCAGACTGGTGCACACCTGTAACCCCAGCACTCGGGAGCTGAGGCAGGAGGATCACAAGTTTGAGGCCAGCCTGGGCTCCATAGTGAGATCACGTCCCCCCAAAGAAAAAGTTTATAGATCAAAGCAAAAGTTTCAAGCCAGGCATCGAGGAACTATTTTCTTTGATATCCCCACATACAGCGTTTTAGAAATGACTGAACTAGGGCTGGGAGTGTGGCTCAAGTGGCAGAGTGGCTGCCTAGCAGTCATGCGGCCCTGAGTTCAAATCCCAGTAATGAAAAAAAACCTGAGCTGCTACCAAGATGTCCTTCATTAAATGAGTGAATAAGCAATCTATGGTCCATCCATCCATACTGGGGAGTATCACTCAGTACGCATCAAGACATGCAGACATGGAGGTGGACGCGAAGTGTGTATTGCTGCGTGAAAGAAGCCAGTCTGAAAAGGCTGAGTCCCGCATGAGTCCAGTGTCCGATGTTCTAGAAAAGGCAAACCTGCAAGCAGTAAAAAGGGCAGTGGGCCCAGCAGATGGGAGGAGTAGATGGAACACAGGGGAGTTTCAGGGCAGTGAAACTACTCTTTTGTTTTTGGGCAGCACTGGGGTTTGAACTCAGGGCTTCGTGCCAGCGAGGCAGGTGCTCTCGAGTCACGCCTGCAGCCCACGGCAGCAATGCTTCTGCATGCTGTAATGGAACACACATGTTGCTGCACACATTTGCCAACAATCCATAAAAAACGAACTCAGCAGAGGGCTGGGGGCGTGGCTCAGTGACAGAGCGCTTGCTAGCGGGTGCAAGGCCCTGGGTTCCATCCCTAGTGCCCCACCCCCCAAAAATCCATACAACCGACAAGGCAGGAACCCTAAAGCAAACAGGGTCTGGTTGGTAACTGTGTCGGTAACTTATGATGACCATGTATGCCACTGTCTCTGGGATGTGACTTGGTGAAAGAGCACTTGGACTACAAATCATTTTTTTTATTGTAGTCTTCGGTCTTGAACTCAGGGCTTACACCTCCAGCCACTTCGCCGGTCCTTTTTTGTGATTTTTTTTTTTTTTCAAGATAGGGTCTCTCAAACTATTTGCCTGGGCTGGCTTTGAACCTTCAGCCTCTTGATCTCTGCCTCCTGAGAAGCTGGGATTACAGGCGTGAGCCACTGACATCGAGCCAGACAAAAAGATTAAAAGGAGTTGCCCAGGGGAGGGCTGGGAGTTTAGCTCAGTGGTAGAGCCTTTGGCTAACATGTACAAGACCTCGGATTTGACAACCCCAGAACTAAAAAAAAAAAAAGGGGGCGAGGGGAAAAACAGAGCCCTAAGCTGATATGCTTCCTCTGTGTTCCGTGGGCGCCCTCTGCCAGTTATGGCACAGCAAGATGATATTTGCCAGCCTCTTGGGCTTCCCAGCCTCCAAAACTGTGAGAAAGAAATCTTTGTGCCAGGCCTGGTAATGATAACCTATAATCCCAGCACTGGGGAAGCGGAGGCAGGAGGACTGCGAGTTCAAGGCCAGCCTGGGGCTACACAGTGAGACCCTGTCTGAGAAAATGAAACAGGCTGCCCAGGTGAGTGGGAAGTAGAGTCTGGTTGGAGACCTGAGCGAAGGCACCAGAACTGTCATGCATTCACTCGCTTTTGCTCCCTCCTTTTCTCTTCATTTATGGAGTTGGTTTCCCCTACAATTGAGCCAGACTCCCTGCTCCCAGTCGAGGGAGCTCTGGGTTCAATCAGTGGTTCGCCATCACCAGGGGGTCTTGCAATCCAGTCTTTGATTTGGAGGCATGGGTGAGGTCTGGGATTCTGCCTTTCCTAGCCCAGCATTAATGACACAGATGAGAGCCTCGCTCAGAGTCTCCCTCGCTTGGGATTCTCCAGACAGCCCGACCCAGAAGACACCAGTACCCCATTCTTCCAGAATCTCCCAAACAAGCGTAAGCCTCTCTCACAAATGCCTGAGACCCTATTACTTGTTAGGTCTTCCCAACAGCGAGGAAAGAGAGACTGGGATTATTTTACCAACAATCCCATTTCACAGATGAGCAAACTGAAGCCCACAGAGACAATGTAACCACTCTATTTACCCAGTGCTAGAAAGAGGCAGAACCGGTCCCATTTCAGAGATTTTTTTTCCTTTTTTTTTTTTCTGAGACAGGGTCTTGATATGTGGGCCAGGCTGTTCTTAAAGTCATGGTCGTCCTATGTGTGGGGATTACAGGCGTGTATCACCACACAGGGTGAGATTTTTCCTCGTACAGCCAGTTTGCCTCTTGTCAGCCAGGGCCAGTTCTGACGGACCCTGGGCTGGGAAAGGCCCCCAACCTAGCTGAATGCCATGCTATCTTTATGCCGAAATTGATTTCTGAACAAGGGGCCCCCACACTGTCATTTCGTACCTGGTCACACAAATCCTGTAGCTGGTCCTGCCACCAGCATGTGGACCGTGCTCAGCACAGAAACTGGGGTGGGGGGGTGTAGGGGCGCTGACCTCCACCTGCAACTCACTTTTGTTAAGGGAAACAAGCCCGTCTCACGTCTCACGGTGAGCCTCACTTTGAGCACTCACTCGTGGAGTCACGCAGCCCTGCTTTGAGCCCACAGGCTCACATTGGGTTTATTTAAGCTACTTTACCGACTGGTTCCTGTTCCCCAGTGATGAAAGGGGTGTGCATTTGTCAACTTGGGTGTCATGGAGCAATCGCTGGGGGAGGGGAGAGAAAGAGGCAAGGATGCAGACTTCTGATTCAATTGGTCTGGGTGGAGATGGATCTCTCTCTCTCTTTCTCTGTCTCTCTGTCTCTCTCTCTCTCTCTCTCTCCTCTCTCTCTCTCTCTCTCTCAGAGACTGAAGCTAAGGCCTCAAGCATACTAGGCAAGAGCTCTACCACTGAGTGGCATTGCCAGCCCCTATTAAAATCCTATTTTGAGAAAGGATCTTGCTAAATTGTCCAGGCTGTCCTTGAACTCACAATCCTCCTGTCTCAGCCTCCCAAGTAGCTGGGATTATTGGCACGAACCAAGCTCAGTTGAGATAGAATTGAAAATAACTCCAGGAAAGTGGGGTATAGTGTTGCACAAAGCTGTAATCTCAGCACTGGCCAGACTGAGGCAAGAGGATGGAGTTTGAGGCTGGCTGAGCTACAAATGAGACCCTGTCTCAAGACTCCAAAAAAAAAAAAAAAAAAAAGGCCCAGGGCTGAGAACCTGCTGCAATTGTAAATAATAGAACCTCCACCTTCCAGAAATTTTTTTTTTTTTTTTTGGGATACTAGGGTTTGAACTCAGGGTCCGCACCTTGAGCCACTCCACAAGCCCTTTTTTGGGGTGTGTGTGTGTGTGTGTGTGTGGTATTTTTGAGATAGGCTCTCTTGAACTATTTGCCCGGGCTGGCTTCAATCCACAGTCCTCCTGATCTCTGTCTCCTGAGTAGCTGGGATTACAGGTGTGAGCTACGAGAGCCTGGCCTCCTCCGTTTTAGATTTGCAAGTTATGCTGGGTTCTGCCATTGCCCGAGGCACAGGCACGAGCTGCCAGGAACAGCCCCACTCTCACAGGAAAATCCAAAAGCTGACTTAGCTTTGCAAAGTAACTGCTCCTCAGCAGAGTCAAGGAACAGGCCCTGGCACGTGCACAGGCAAAAATAGAACAAAGATGCCTGCTGGAGAAGTGAGTCCACAAATTTATGTCTCTAAGAACACAGGTAGAAAAGCGGAGAAGAGGGCTGGGAAGGGAGTCTGTCACGAAGTTCACTGTCATTAGTTCTCTCTTTTCCCTTGCGATTTTCAGCTTGATTCTTTTTTTTTTTTTTAAAGTAAACACGGGAACCTATTTTTATCATCTGAAAAAAGAATAAAGCTATTTCCATTTTGAGAAGAGAAAAAGAGCTGTCGGGGTAATTTACATCTAAGTGGGAGGACATTTCCGGGTGGTCTTTTTGCTAAGGTTCCAGTCCACTGCTGGTGAGCCAAGATAATTAAAACAGCAGGAGAGGAACAAGAAGTATTTCTCAGGGTGAACCCTGAATAAATATAGAACATATTCTATGGAGGCCATTTGTCCTCATTTAAAAACACTTTTTTTTTTAAATGGAAGAAGTAGGGTCCATCTCCCTGGACTCCCCCAGGGGGTCTGGAGCTGAAGGAGGAGTCTGACCCGGGGTCACCCAGCCCTGGAGCTGGCTAAGTGCTCTAAGTGGAAAGGATCCCAAACCAGAGCTTGAAGCATTCCTATGGGGCTGGCAGATCCAGCCCCCACCAGGCAAAAGGGACAGGAGGGGAGGGTGCCGGCCAGATGCATCAGGGAGGGGACACGGGTGTTACTTGATCCCGAGAACCTGATCGCAGCCCCCAGCATGGTCAGCCCTTATATAGACACTAAGCAGTTGCTCTTACTCCCCCTGCCAAGGCATGAAGAGAGGTCAAGGCAGCCGGCGGCTAGGACATCCGACCCCGTGGGCAGTGCAGACCCTGCCTGCAGTCCTCGCCAGGAAGTGTGCCTCCTTCCAAGTTCAAGCCCTGCCTCAACAGGACCCCCGACTTTCTCCACCCGCCCCCCACCTCCACCTCTGCACCTGTTATCCCTCTTCTAAGTAAGATAGCTGACCCCTTCCCTCCCACCACATCAGCTGTCCCTCCTCCAGCCCCACCTTCCCAGGGGGCTTCCCTCCCCCATCCAAGCCCTAGTGGGTGAACCCCAAGATCTCAGCATCTGCCTACTCCCCCGATCCAGTCCCTGGGTTTGTCCTGCCCACTCCCGGTCTTCATCATGCAGGGTTTCCCTATCTGTGCCAACCCCTAATGTCAACTTCTCTGTCGTCCCCCCCACCCCCATGCCAACCCCTTCCAGCCCCCGGCCCGGCCTCACCTACCTGGCTCATACTTGAGGTAGAGGATGGAGACGATGAAGTAGCTGAGGTCGAAGACGGGGAACAGGGGCACCCGTGAGAAGCTGAGGGCCAGCTCGCCCAGGCTCAGCGCGGACAGCAGCTCCATGGCGCCCGCCGGGTGCCACCCCCGGCCCCCGGCCCCGTGCGTCCCGCCGCCCGCAGCCCGGCGACTGAGCCCCCGCCGCTGGGCCCGCCCCCGCCCCCGCCCGCCAGGCGCCACCCCCGGCCTGTCCCCACCCCCGGCAGAGGAGGGACGGCTGTCCACCCCCAAGGAGCTGGACGACCAGGTGTCCCTTGCCCTGTCCCTCGAGCCATCACGATGACCCCATTAGGCCAGCGAGGAGGGGTGCGGGGCCCCCATGAAGGGCAAGTAGGACTGTCCATTTGGCGGGCCTGTGCCCCACCGAGTCCACCTGTCTTTGTGAGACTTGGTCAGATAGGATCCTGTTCCCCTCCCCCACGTGGCGTCTTGATTAGGGTCCCTGTCCTTTGTGGAGCCTAATCAGGACCTCCACTCCCCTATGTGACCCAGTCAGTCAGGACCCCTGTCCTCTGCGGACCCTAGCCAAGACCCTCAGGTCTCATGGGGACCGTTCTGTCAGGACCCTCAGCCTCCATGGGGTTCTCTAAATCAGAACCCCGGTGCCCCATGGGGACCGCTAAGTGGGGACCCCAGACCCCAGCTCGGTAAGGATCTCCGCTTTCCCAGGACTGAACCCCCATTTGGAGTTCAGTCAGTTGGAGTGCACGCCTCAGGGGAACCCACTGAGCCATGATCCCGCCCTCTGGGTAGTTGAGGGGTCCAGGGCGCCCTTTCTCCGGAAACCCAACCCGGGATTCAGCCACTGAGAACAGCAGCTGCGCTAATCCTCTGGCTCGCCAGACTTCACGCATGCGCGGCACGTTTTGAGGGCTGACCTAATCCGGCCCCGAAAGCTCCGCCTCTCCAGTGACGTCAGGTTATCGCCCCGCCTTTCCGTCCCAGACGCACCTTGCGAGGAGGGGCGCTCGCACTTCCCCAAGAGGGCCGAACCTACAGAGGGCGGGACTCCGCCTACCTTAGCCTTCCATTGGCCTAGGCCTCACCAACATTGTTTCAGGATTGGTAGGCTGGTGCTCCTCCCCACTCCCCTCGCCAGAGCTTCCGCTTCCGGTTTAGACGGACACTTCGGCTTGTAACGATGATCGGGGACATCCTGCTATTCGGGTAATTAGACGGACCAGAGGCTGGGGACAGAGAGGCAGACGGGTTGGGGGACGGCTTTAGTAAATGTAATCATCCTTCCACAGGACGTTGCTGATGAACGCTGGAGCCGTGCTCAACTTTAAACTGTGAGTAGGCCGCGCTAGGCTGCGGCTCCGCCCGGGGACTCGTAGACCCGCCCCCGCGAGCGTAAGCCTGCCTCACGCCTACGTAGACTACGCCCCCACGTCCCACGCCGCCCTCTGGCCACGCCCCCACTTTTTTTTTTTCCTCATTTGAAGGATCGAATTTGAAGGATGGTCCATCCTGAAATTGTAATTCTGAATTCTCTGTGGTTTAGGCGCACTTTTGGTCACATCCCCCAAGAAACAGCCCTCGACGTCCTTAGACCACTTTGTTCACCTTGTCGGTGGCTTCAAGCCTGGCTGCGATTGGCTGGGCAGGTAGCGGTTCAGAGAGGGACGTTGGGTCGTCCGAGGTCACACAGCAAGTCGGCGGCAGAGCTAGGGCTGGATTTTAGTGACAGCCTGTCAGGGCCAGGGGGACTGAACAGTCTTTATGTCCCATGAAACCTGGACATTGTCTGTTCCTCTTTGTAGGAAAAAGAAGGACACGCAGGGCTTTGGGGAGGAATCGAGGGAGCCCAGCACAGGTAAGGTCTTCCTGGATCCTAGACTTGCGCAGTCCACTTCAGAGAGACCACTCTTTCTTACCACGTCCCGCCCCAACTTTTATAATTGTGGGTAAGGGTCAGGGGTTTGAAATCTGGGCCTTGCACTTGCAAAGCAGGCACTCCACCCTTTGAGCCACGCCTCCAGTCCATTTTACTGGTTATTTTCGAAATGGTGTATCATGAACTATTTATCCATGTTGGCCTCGAACCTCGATCCTCCCGCTCTCAGCCTCCCGAGTAGCTAGGCTTACAGGTGCGAGCCACTAGTGCCTGGCCCAACTTGAATTTTAAACTGAGTATGTGTGTGCACTTCTGTCTGCCCTTTTCTGGCACCTCTTTCTTCCTCCACCAGATGTCTCTGACAAGTGAGTACACACGTGACTTCCTGCAGTTACAGTTTTTCGTTTTGTACGTTGTTGTTTGGCTAGTGTCTGCTCTTACACAAGATCCTGAGCTCCAGAGAAGAGGCCTTTGCAGTGCCCGCCCACAATGCAAGACTGAAAGAACAGCGTTACTAGCAGCCGTTTTTTCAAAGCCAGTGGAGACAGCCTAGGGCAGGGGGTGGAGCCTATCGCGGGGGCGGAGCCTGTGGTGGGGTAGGGCTACACATGGGGGTGGGGATCAGAGTTTAATGGGACTGGGGCTTGAATTCAGGGCTTTGCATTTTCTGCTAGGCAAATGTTCTACCATTTCTCCAGCCCTGGTTTTTTTTGTATTTAAATTAGATGTTGATAAGTTGGGAGATTTTATAGAAAAGTTCACACATCAGATTTTTCATAAAAAAAAAAATTGGAACATTCTGCAATCAGAATTAAGGAGATCTCTTTGCACCCATGAAGTGGGCCAGTGGCGAGAAGCAGGACCCCATGAGGCAGGCCCGGTGGGTTCTGCCTCATCCCAGCCCCAACTCCTTCAGGTTTATATTAGCTGTGTTACCCTAAATTTACACTTGCTGCTGGGTTTGTTTGCAGGAGTCTCTGGGGTCTTCCTCAGCCCTAACATGTCTGTTCAGTTACTAGGCATTTGTTGAGCACTACTTCATTGCCAGCCACTGTGCTGGGTGCTGGGGACAGAGAGATGTAGTCCCTGCCTCTCTGTGACACAGATCTTTCCTAAACAGTTGATCCTGTGGTGAAGATGGAACCGAGGGAGTTTCAGGCTGTTGGTGGCATTGCTGCTCTGGCTGGGGTGTGTGGCTAGAAGGCATCCCAGCCAAGGTGATGGGGCCACATGGGAAGACAGCAGAGGTTGTAGATGGGTCCAACAGCTCCTGTTGATTGAGGGACCTGTCCCAGGGGGCTGCCCGGTTAGGGGTCTTCCCCTGGTACTTCATTCCCCCACCATCCCTGCTACTCAGATGTGGCTCTCCTTGCCTATGGCCAAGGAGACCAAGTCAGCATTGGAAACTGGGTTTTTCTGTTTTCTGTTTGTTTTTGGTGATACTGGGGTCATCACACTCAGGGTCTCATACTTGCTCGGGGCTCTTACCACTTGAACCACATCTCCAACCCTTTTTTCACTTTTTAGTTAGTTTTCAGGTAGAGTCTCAACATTTTTTTGCTTACAGCTGACCTCAGACTGTGATCCTCCTACTTACGGAGTAAGCTTCCAGAGTAGCTGGGATTATAAGTACGTACCACCACATCGGGCTTATTGGTAGAGATAGGGTCTTGCTAACTTTTTGCCAAAGTTGACCTTGAACTGCGATCTAATCTTTGTCTTCCAAGTAGCTAGGATTACAGGTGTGAGCCAGTGTGCCATCCTGGAACTAGGTTTTTTGATCATAGGGGTTGCAGTATTAATCACTAGTCTGTCTACCCATCCATCTAGCCATCCATTGCTTTATACATGCATTCACTCAGCAGCTGGACGTATGTGGCCCAGTGCCTCTGTGGAAGCACTCACAGGCCTTGGGTTGTGTTTTGAGATTGGAACCAGCTGTGGTGGGTCAGATACTGGGCACAAGGGCTCAGACATGGCAGGAGTGTCAGTGGCAGGAACGACAGAACAGGCACCTGGGTCCTGAACAAGGCCTACCAGCGAGCTTCTGGGCTGCCATTTCCCAGCATGCTTCATTTTCCCTTGACCCTCTAGCCAGGGCTTTGGACCTGTTGCTTCTGCGAAGGGGGTTGCTTCTCGCCCTCTGCCCTCTTGTCTGACTGATCCCTGAACCATGGTGATTGCGTTTGTGAAGAGCTACGTGTGAGAGGCTGGAGGAGTGACTCAACTGATGGAGCACCTGCCCAGCAAGAGTGAGGCCCTGAGTTCAAACCCCAGTACTGCCCAAAAAAAAAAACCAAAAGAGCCCCATGTGAGCCAGGCACAATGTGCAGTGTGCACGTCTGTAATCCCAGTATGCGGGAGGCTGAGGCGGGAGGGCTTGCGTTCCAGGCCAGTCTGGGCTACGTGATAAGACTCCGGTGGCTCACGCCTGGAATTTTAGCTATCTAGGAGGCTGAGGTCAATCAGGAGGGTCATGGTTTGAGGCCAGCCTGGGCAAATAGTTCGTCAGACCCCCATCCTCAAAATAACCAGAGCAAAATGGACTGGAGGTGTGACTCAAGTGATAGAGCGCCTGCTTTGCAAACACAAAGCTCAAAGCTCTTGAGTTCAAACCCTCATCCCAAAAAAGAAAAGAGCTGCACGTGTGCTGGGCACCGGCTGTCTTCCCAGCCATCCGTTACCTTGTTTACACAGGAGGACACGGCTTGGCCCAGGGCCCTGGGCAGAAGTGCAAAGGCAGGATTGGAGCTGCAGTCAGCTGTCTGTCTCTGGGCTTGTGGCTTTCTGGAAGCAGCTTCTCTGATCCCTCCCACAAACACTGCAGTCCAAGTTCCTCTGTACTGTTCCCACCACCCCTAACCCACCCATTGCAGCAGCATCACTTGTGCGATTTGGGCTCCTCAGGCTGGGGCACCTGTCTTACCCTCTCTGTGTTCCCATGCTTGGCTACTGCCTGTCACATTAACCTGTGTGGCATCCATTAATGGTGGGGGGCCCAGTGTCACCACCCTGGGCTGGGAGAAGGGTCTTCCTTTGAGCACTTCTTTGACCTCGTGGGACAGACTTGCCCTTGACGTTGCTGGTCTGCTGAACAGTGCGGTATAGATGGGGTAGTGGAGCTACCTGCTTTTTGGGTTAGCACTAGGTGTGTCTACACCAGGTTCAGCAAGGCAGTATGCAGAGCACGGGCTCGGAAGGGCGGTGCTGGCAGGTTGCTGCTGTTGGGGTAGAAAGGTTCTGAGCTGTGTGCCTTGCTCACCAGACAGCCCAGTCAAGGGCCACCAAAGCCTGAGTGCAGGCAGTCATTGGACAGGAGGGGCAGTGGATGTGAGAGGGACAGAAACCATAAAAGCACGCTGCAGTGGTGACGGTGGGCTTGTTAGCTGTCCGTAAAGATGCTTTCTAGGGCTGGGGGAGGGGCTCCAGTGGTAAGAGTGCTGGGCTAGCAAACATGAGTCCCTGAGTTCAAACCCGAGGACCGCCAAAAAATAAGAAAGAAGTTAAATTGGTTTTTGTTGTTGTGACTTTGCAGGTGACAACATCCGGGAGTTCTTGCTGAGCCTCAGGTACTTCCGAATCTTCATCGCTTTGTGGAATGTCTTCATGATGTTCTGCATGATCGTGTAAGTGGGGCTTCTGTCCCCTCAGTGTCACATTGCCAGCAACCATCTCCAGAGTGACCTGTGGTTCCTCTCTGTCCTTCCTTCTGCACTTGGGGTTTTGCTTTCACTCCCGGTACGAACTCCATGCAAGTGAGGACACCAGCTGGGGTCCTCGGGTTGAACTGTGGCACTGAAGTCCTGCCAGGCTGGCTGGAGCTCGGCGTAGAATATGGGCTCTCAGGGCCCGGCTGGGTGGACCTGCTCCAAGCCCAGGGCTCTGTCCTCTCTCCACCTTGCCGAGCTAAGCCGATACTTGGCACATGTCAAGGTGGAAAAATGGTGTACGTGCCCACCATGCTGCCAGGTCCTGCCCAGTGGCCTTGCCAGAGCCAGCCGAGATGTTTGCAGAATTTATTTCTGTTGCTATGGCCACCTTCATTTTCTCACTCAGCTAAAAAGTCCCCATGCCAACTGCTTTTCCTTTCAGCCTTGGAGCACAGGTCTAATACTTGTGTTAACAAATTGTGTGGCATCCAGGAAGTGGGCTGGAATATATGCTAGGAGGAGCAGGTGTTCTCGGTCCCCTGGGTCCATTCACATGTTCTTCCCCTAAAATAATAGAGGACATGCTGGGCATGGCGGCCACGCCTGTGATCCCAGCACTCTGGAGAGGAGGCAGCAGGATCAGAAGTTCCAGGCTAACCTACAGGAAGACCCTGCCTCAAAAAACCAAATCAAGCCAGGTGCTAGTGGCTCATGCTTATAATCCTAGCTATTCAGGAGGCAAAGATCAGGAGGATTGTGGTTCAATCCCAGTCTAGGCAAACAGTTCCATAAGACCCTATCTCGAAAAAAACCCAGCACAAAAAAAAAGGGCTGGTGAAGTGGCTCAAGGTGTAGACCCTGAGTTCAAATGCCAGTGCTGAAAAGAAAAAAAAAATAGCAGAGGCTGTCCTGAGTGATGGGGACCCTGAATGTGGGACTGCCATGCCATCCTAGTGCCAGCCCAGCAGCTGTCTGACATGAGCACAGGATGGGCCTCATTGCCTCTAGAAAGTCAGCCCAGAATGAAGACTGTGACATGTCCTCCCTGTCAGACCAGGGAGGATTTGGGAGCGTGAATGAGGCCTGCCCAGGACAAAGGAGGCTTATGAAGAGATTAGGGAATCTGTGTAGGGTGCAACCAGGACTCACAGAAAGTGAGTCTCTAGGTGCCCTGGCTACGCTCTAGCTTAGGGCTGAGGCCACCACAGCAGAGTCCCTCTCTTTAGCAAATGTGTTGAAACAGGTGTGGCATGGACAGAAAAAAAAGTAAAAAGGAAGCAGCCCATCGTTGAGGTGGCAAGTGGGAAAGTTGAGCCCAGTTTCAGAGGTCAGGGAAAGAAGGGCACTTGGCAGGTGCCATTTAAGTCAAGACCTAAAGGATGGGGAGAAGTTGGCCATTTGCAGAGCTGGGGAAAAGCTCAGTCACTCAGAAAGTGGCCTGTGTAAAGGTCCTGGGACAGGGAAGAACCCAATGGGATTTCCTCATTCTGTTCTGTGCGTTTGCTTCATCGGCCTCTCTTGTCCTGCCGGCTTTCCTCACTCTCCTCTCCTGGCCTGAGTCCAGGGTGGCAGCCTTGGGCTCTGTGACCTCCTAGCTCAGCTTCCCAAGGCCAGCTTGGCCTCAGTCCAGCATCCTGCTCTACCCTCCTGGGAGCAGATCCTACTGTACTATTTTGGGGTCTCTGGGTCCAGCTGGGTTGGACCATACCATTTGGGTCAGGGGGTTTTAATGAGGTCTCGTTGTCCCCAAGCCATGTCAGCATCGGGGACTGAGTTTGCTCTGCATGGAGGAGCTTTGTTGGAACAGAAGGTCTGGCCTGCAGAGTTGAACTGTTTACCGTGTGGCTCTTCTGTGAGACCATGGGCAGCCCCTGGTTAGGGCAGTTCTCAGTGTGGGCTGTGGGTGAGGAAGATTCCCTCAGGGGATGGCTCTCCATGGGGAGCAGCTGGGCCGTTCACACACTCATCAAGAAAAGGCACGGCTCTGCCCGGGATACTGAAAAACTGGGAAGCACCCAAAAGTCCGAGAGCAGAGGAGTATCGGGTAGCTCAAGGGACGCTCAAGAGACCAGCTGTCACAGTGCCATCAGTGACGTGTGCTGGAGGTTCTGTCTGCGTGGGGAAGTGTTTAGAGGGTCAGTTGCTACCTGCATGTTCTGACCAGTGACATGACTTGCACACAGTAAACACAGACTAAATGCTGGCAAATGCCTGAATCCATGAGGGCAGCCTGTCCTGCAAGAGAGTTGTAAGGATCCACTCTAGCCAGTCCATGGCGGCACCGGTACTGCAGGTCCTGGGAAGGTGGTGGGCTTGGCTGGTTCCCTGTGCCCACTTGTGTATTGGTTGAACTGAGCTACTTTGGAAATTTCAAAAAATGGCAAAAAGTACTTGAAGTAAACGGAGAAACATCTCTGGGTGTAGGGATTGATGGTAGTGACATCTGTAACTTACACTGAGACACATCAAAACTGCATTAGGAGCTGGGTGCTGGTGGCTCACGCCTGTAATTAGCTACTCAGGAGGCAGAGATCAGGAGGATCATAGTTCAAATCCAGCCCAGGCAAGTAGTTTGAGAGACCCTATTTCGAAGAACCTCTCAGGAAAAAGGGCTGGTGGAGTGGTTCAAGGTGTAGGCCCTGAGTTCAGGCCCCAGTACTGCAAAAAAAAAAAAAAAAAACTGCATTAGTTGGGGGCTGGTGGGGGTCCAGCATTTGCCCATCTAATGGAGGCCTGATGCTCTTTATCTCTACCTCCTGAATAGCTGGGATTACAGGCTTGAGCCACTGGCACCTGGCTACTTTATCTTTTCTTTTATCATCTAAACTTTTGCTTGTATCTAAAAAATTATCACCTACACAAGGTACAAAGATGTATGCCCAAGTTTTCTTCTAAGGGTTTTCGAAGTTTTCTTACTTTGTTTTTCTCACTTTTTGTTTTTTTTTAGATAGCATCTTGCAGTGTAGCCCAGTCTAGCCTTGAAGTTGTGATCCTCCTGCTTCCATCTTCCAAAGTGCTGGGATTATAGATGTGTGTTATCATGTACAGCTGCAGTTTTACTTTTTATAGTAAAAGTTAGGCCTACACTCCATTTTGAGTTAATTTTTATAGATGGTGTGAGGTAGGGGTCTGACTTCATTCCTTTGTATGTGGGGATCTAATTTTTCCTGCACCTGTTGTTATTTTTTGCAAATAACCGTTTTCTTTTGGAATAAGTTTAGATTTATAGAAATTTTACAAAAATAATACCAAAGTCCCTACGTCTAACTTTGGACAACTGTATGCTTTCTCAAGAATCACATTCTTAGTAAATAGTTGTGTATAGTCACGTGCACACATATGCAGTTGCGTTTAAAATCAGACAGTAATGTAAAATAATAGATGATAGTCATGTGAAATGATCTGTGTTTCAGAGTGGTAATGTCCCATCCTCACAGCCCTGTTTGCCCTCTGACCTCTCCAGGCTGTTTGGCTCCTGAGCCCCAGAAGCGGAACCTGGAACTCACCTTCCCAGATGTCGAAGCTGCTTTTCTCATTCCCGATGACTCAAGAATGTTTGGACCTGAGAACCAGGGACCTTCCCAGAAAGCCCAAGCTGGCGGCGGATGGAATACTGATCACCAAGTTGTCCTTGATGGTCCAGCCGTGTCCCTGTGCACAAAGACAGACCTGCTCTGGTCCCAGGCTGGGATGCTGTCTACGGAAGGGATGACCTGGTAAATGACATTCCACAGAGACAGCGTCCAGGTTGGCTCTGCCCTGCTGAGCACCCACAGACCGTGTTGTACAGTTTTCTTGGTTGACTTGTAATAACCAGCATTGGGTTAGAACTGTACAGCTTTTTAAACCTCATTTTAATCCAGGAGCTGCACAGAAGGGTTGGCTTTTAAGTTGGAAGCAGCCTCTTCTGATCAGGTTATAACTAGGAGTTCATGTGGCTTGCTGGATCTCATGGTGATTCTGGGGCCAGCCCAGGGGCCTGTGTCCAAATTCCTCCCCCATCCGCCATAGGGTCCCCTTGGCTGCTTGCTGCAGCCGAAGTGGTTCCCAGGCCTTCAAGGCGCAGGTCACTTGTGACAGGGACACCAGCTGGGCTGTCTGGACACTACACTTTGGTGGGGATGGGGCGGCCCAGGGAAGCATTGCCGTTTCTGAGGGAGAGGAGTGTGGGTAGGGGATGGTGGTGGACAGGTGTCAGTCGGAAAAATTGTCTTTGTTTTGAAGCCCTTTGTCAAATAAAGTGACCTTGGGGGCTGCTTTGGCACGTTTACTCTGATGAGACTGATTTTATTGCGTGTGCTGTGGTAACCACTTCTCAGATCTCGCCTTTTCAGGCTGCCCTTTTTGTGCCAGGGTCTCATGAACTGTTTGCCTGGGCCGGCTTTGAACCTCGGTCCTCCTGATCTCTGCCTCCTGAACAGCTAGGATTACAGGCATGAGCCACCAGCGCCTAGCAGTGTTTGCACGCTGGTGAACCAAGAAGTTGACTTGAAGCATTTCAGATTATCCAGTGGGAAACACCTAGGATTCATTTTGGGTGTTGTCAAAAGTCAGAAAATAGCCAGTGGTTGGTTTTCTCGTGAGAGTTTTGCCCAGTATGTGGCAGGCAGGAATTGGGCAGATAAGGGTTTTGATTCGGGCTGCCCCTGGAGTATGGAAGGAAGGCGGTAATGGGGGCTCTTTCTGGGTCAGGGTCAAGTCTGTGTTCACAGCTGCTCAGCTCCCGCAGTTGTACATTGTTGCTTCAGCATGTCCAGTCGTGTAAAAGTTCAATTGCATGTGAGTTGGTCTTTTTTTGCTTTGCAGTGCTGAGGGTGAATGCAGGTCCTGCGTGTGCCAGGCAGGTGCTGTATCCCTGTGCCGGCCCCAGTCCCCCATAGATATGCGTTCTTAGGAAGCTTTGCAGAAACCTTCATTAGTGGCTGGCGGTGCGGCTCAGTGGTGAGGCCCTGGGTTCCATCCCCAGCACCAGTGCGCCCTGGGCAGAGGTTGGTCCATCTGAAACTGGATAAGCCATCGTTTCTTCAGGCTTTCCGAGCTTTGAAAGCTTCTCTTCCCCGCCCCACCTTGACCGTCTTGCTGGATGTGAGATTGTACGTCCCCTCCTTAGCACTGCTGCTGCTGAGCAGCGCTGTGACCTTCACTTCACTGAGTCACTTCCTCGGGCCAGAGGCCCTGAGGGCTACACTGGCGTGTACCTCTGTGTGGCTTTAAGTGGCTTCTGTTCCTTTTACTTTGTGACCCACCAGCGACCAGCAGCCTTGTCTTTATTTTACAAGACCTTGGTTCTAGATAGTTGTGAGTGGAGCCGGGGGCAGTGGTGGTGTGCAGCTTGCTTACCACGAGTGCACTGTTGTGGCCTCTACCCGTAAGCCAGCTGCTTCTGTCTGCGTAGAAGCAGAAGGCTGCCTATCCACTGTACCTTGGAAGGTCGCTTTGATTTGCCTCTCTTGGGTTTTGGTGTGTTTCTTGTGGTGTGGGAATGGAACCAAGAGCCTCGTGCGTGCTAGGCACGCATTCTTCCTACCACAGTCACATCCCTGCCCTTGACCACCACCTCAGCAGTAAGTGCCTGCTGCTGCCCACCCTGGCGTGTGTTGCTCCTGTGCAGGGAGAAGCCACACGTGGAGAACCCAAAAGCTAGTTTTCTGCACCTGAACTTTGGGGTTCGTGGCAGAACCCCTTTTTGCCTTTTCCACCCTTGCCATTCTGTGAATCCAACTCTCTTTTGTGTGGGTAGCTCACTGCACTTCCTTTGGTTCCAGCTCCTCTAGAGCAGGACTTGGCAAACTATAGTCCCCGAGACAAATCTGGCCTACCACTTGTTCTTGTTAATAAAGTTTTATTGGAATCTAGCCACGCCTCCTTTGTATGCATTGCCCACAGCTGCTGAGTGCTTTAGCACTTCAAATTCAGAGCTGATAGTGACTTCAGAGGCTGTATTGCATGGAAGACCAAAAATATTGCCCATTTGGCCCTTGACAGAAATAATTTTTTTAACTTTTTTTTTTTCTTCTTTGGTGAGATTGGGGTTTGTACCGCTTTAGCCACACCTCCATTTTTGCTCTGGTTATTTTGGTGATAGGATCTGGAGAACTATTTGTTGGAGCTGGCCTTGAACTGTGATCCTCCTAATCTCAGCCTCCCAAGTAGCTAGGATTACAGGCATGAGCCACTGGTGCCCAGCTTGACTGGAGTAATTTGCTGACCTCTGAGCTAGAGGATAATAGAGAATTTCAAAGAGCCCCTTCCCCTTGAAAGCCACTCAAGTAAAATCACCCACATTCCTCCAAGTCTGAACTGATTTGCTTGTGTTTTGAGCCTGGGTCTCACAGTGTAGGCCAGGCTGGCTTGGAACCTGCTCTCCTCTGACCTTGGCCTCCCAAGTGCTGGGAGCAGTCCGAATTTTAACAAACACATTTGTTTGCAAGCATGATTTTCACTTTTGCTGAAAATCTAATTGGCTATTTTCAAGCGATGTGGTTAATGAAGCAAATCCCAGTTTTCCTTCTCTCCATAGTTGGGGGTGGGGAGAGGGGAAAGACCCCCTCCCTCTTGGATTCCCTGGGGCCCCTCAGGTCATCGGGTGGCAGCAGCAAGAGTGATAATGAGCTGGGCTCTCCTCTGAAGTGGCTGGATTTGAAAAGCCAGCAAGTCTGTCATTAGCAAGGCTTTTTCTTTTCATTCCAACCACTTCATTATCTCCTTAACCAAGCTTGAGTTTATGAAATATTTGACGAGCTTCCTGGTGTTTTCCTGTGTTGATGAAAAATGGGTGCTGTTTGTGTACAAAGAGAAAGGAGTGCTATTAACAGAAACAGAACAGAATTAAATTCCATTGGGGATTGTTTTTAGCGGTCCCTTGGTTTTCTTAGCATACCAGGAAAGACTTGGTCCCCTCCAAGTGCTTGGATATGAGTTTGGTAATAGCAGGTATTCCTCCTTGGAAAAGATCTTGTGACAAATTGAAAATTCAGAATCACCCTTTTTCAGTAAGTAAAAGGCAGTCTGGGGGCACAGCCCAGTAACAGCACTGGCCTGGCATGTGAAAGGCCCTGGGTTTAATCCCCAGGCCTGCAAAGAAGGGAGGGAGGAGGCAGGCAGGTGGGCCCCATTCACTGATGTGTAGGTCACATTATTGTTAGCAGTTGTTGTTCAGTGTGGATGCAAGAATGTGGCTATGCTGGGGGCTGTGGCAGTTATTTTAGGGTGTTACAGTTTTACTGCATCTATGCCTGGAGTGGTGATGCACACCTGTAATCCCAGCATGTGAGAGGTTGAGGCAAGAGGATCAAAAGTTCCAGGCCAGCCTGGGCCCCATAGCAAGACCCTGTCTCAAAAAGAGAGAGGGGCTGGTGGAGTGAATCAAATGGTAGAGTGCCTTCCTAGCAAATGTGAGGCCCTGAGTTCAAACCCCAGTGCTGCCAAAATAAATAAAGGGAACTGGAGGTGTGGCTCAAGTGGTGCAAGCATAAAGCACTATGTTCAAACACAAGATACAGAGTCTGTGTCTATACTCTGCCTGGCACAGGGCAGGCACTGCATAGTGAATACCACTGTTTCTATCAACATCAGCATTACAGTGTCTGTGAAAGACCCTTGACGGAGTTTCGTGAGGCTGAAGTGAGATGTGTTAGTCAGTTCCTCCTCCCAGCACAAAACACCAGAGGCCAGATGGCCTAAACAGCATTTGTCGTAGTTGTAAGGAGGTTGGGATCCCAAGGTCAAATGCCAGCCAGGTTGGTGTCTACAGAGGGCTTTGTTGACCACTTCCCACTGCATTCTCAGGGCTTCTGTTGATGCACCTTCCTCCCTCCCTGTGCTTTTTTTTTTTTTTTTTTTTT